TTTGCGAATAATCGCACCAACTGTTGTCACCTTCTCACCCAGCTGCTTGGTGATGGTCTTGTAGCCCATTCCAGCCTTGTGTAGGTCCACAATCTTGTCCCTGACATCCTTGGAAAGCTCTTTGGTCTTGGCCATGGTGAAGAGTTTGGAATCTGGATTCACGTTTTGCAAAGGGATCAAATACTTATTTCATTCATGAAAATGCAAATTAATGTATAACTTTTTTTGTAATGCATTTTTCTGGATTTTTTTGTTATTGTTGTGTCTCTCACTGTTCACATAAACCTACCATTGAAATTGTAGACTGATCATTTCTTTGTTAGTAGGCAAACTTACAAAATCAGCTGGGGTTCAAATAATTTTTTTTCCCTGGCTGTATATACAACAAATATATTGTAACTCAGCACAGTCAACACAGTGTGTGGTTTTATTTATCAGGGTGGGAATGCAGTTAATGTGAGAACATGGACTGTTTTCAAAACTTCAGTTTTTCAGTGTTCAGGTTTTTATGGGAATCTCCATCAATTAACAAGAGAGTTGTTATGCAGCAGTACAACATGGTGTTTAAGGAAGCAACACTCTGAACTGTGTGTGTTTTGTTTTCAGGAGAACCTGGAGAAGCAGACGCTGCACACTCAGACTCTGACTGAGAAGTTGTGGCTGACAGAGAGACAGCTTGAGGAGCTGGAGGTCGACAAAGACACCAAAGTCAAGAGGACGTCCGAACTCAACGAAACCATTGCCAGACTGGAAGAAGAGGTACAAAGACAGTTTCTTTTCAACTCTATAAGGAAATCCAGTAATTAAAAAAGTTTTCTCACCTAATTTTAAAGGTTCCATAGCACAGTTTCTTTTTAATTTCTAGAAACATACCTGTAAAGGAACAAACATGACATAAATTATGGAGAAATTTGCATTAAATTAGTTGAGTTAAGCAATTTTATTTGCTTAAAAAAACACTTAAACCTCACATCCAACCCAAGAATAGAAAATACTGATTTATCATTGTAAACTTCACCTCAGTTGTTCACTGAGTTGTTTAGCTCTGCCCAGATGAAAACAGATGAGATGTGCACGTGAGCATACGGAGTGTATAATGCGCAACATGCTGTGTGTTTCCAGCTGGCCGAGGCCCTTCAAGCATCCACACAAGCTGTAGCAGAACTGAACCTGCATCAAAAGCTGCGTGATGATGACAAGATGAGGGTGGAAGAGCTGGAGGACACTTTGCTGGAGAAGGAACAGGAGGTGCAGAGACTGCAGGCCCTTGTCAGCAGACTGCAGGGGGAGGTAATTGCATCTCCTTTCAATCAGCCTGAGCGGTACTTTAAGACATAGCATACTACTGTAACATCATCCATTTAAGCATGTCACACAGACATGCCTGTTAACATGTTTTCTGGCATCTTGATAATTTGGTGCCACCTGGCTTTTATGTTGTTTGATAAATGGGATGAACTAAATGATACAAAGCTCTTCACTGAATAATATCAAGATCAAAGATTTTTATTGTCAATTCACTATATGAACAGGACACAGAAAATCAAAATACTGTTTCTTTCTCACCTAGTACTGAATGCCATTACCATTTAGGAAACTGAAATAGAATAAAAGTAGAATAAAAATAGAATAAAAAGAATAAGAAAACTAAACCAAAGTGATTAGGATAAAACTAAATGGCACAACCTAATAGGCTATGACTCAAACCATGTACAATCAGTGACAGTAGTGCAAATAATAACAAGAAGACTGTCAGATTGAGATGCACATGGACAGTAGTGCAAATGACCAACAGCAGCAGATATGACGGTAAAAACACTGAGCAGCAGATTTACATGTAATACAACAAGAAGGGGGAATGTATTGAGTTTGTGCAAAACAGCAGAGGTAGTCTTTTTATGTTCTGTGGTGGGTTACGGTCCAGGGGCAGAGGGGGGG